TCGACTATGGCTGTCCTGCGCCCCTTCATACAATGTATCTTCACAACATGTTGCATTTCTGGTTTGGAGCCAAATTCTTGTTGCACAAATAATGGATCTCCTAACTTCCAACCTCCGTGCAAGTCATCATCCCCATACAGGATCTTCAACTCGTCATTAGGGTGCGCCCAATTAATGAACGAATAATGTTGGCTTTCATTCCAAAATGACTCTACCGCAGTCCCTGCATCTAAAGCTTCATTGATTATTGTCTGAATCAATATCACCGAATATATATAATTTATTAAAGCAAATGTGAAAATTTAATAACTTACCGCTACTAACAGGGTCAACATGAAGTGATGAACTGACAGGATCAACATGAAGTGGTGAACTGACAGGATCAACATGAAGTGGTGACATGACTGGGGTACCCAGCCTTACAGCGCTCGTGTCAGCGTCAAAATTTTCATCCACGTCAGTGTCAGACGAATCACCCTGTGGAATAGCACTTTCAGATTCTCCCTCATCTTCGCTGTCCACATACTCCTCATCTTCATCGTCTTCATCCTCATCCATTGTTACCTGAGCAGGTGCAGATGACCGTACAATTGTATCTTCTTGACCAATACAGTGCGTAGTGGTTGTATGCACCGGTAACGATGAAGACTGACCAGCATCAAATTCAACATATATCTCAATCATTTTTAATACTTTCCATCCAACATACGCATCTGTGACGAACTCCACATCTTCATCATCATTGATATCGTTACCAATGTAGTATATTGTATCCATATCCACAACAGTCTCTAACCTGGCTATCATGCGGTGGATGGAATAGATGCCTTCTGACCCCATTTTTTGGAGAATTCTGTCCTTGAGTTCATTGCATGTAGTGCCCACTTTGATTTTTATCGTTTTTGTTTTTCCTTCAAATCGGACACCATTCGGACCTTCAAAATGCCTCCCATTGTAGTAAATAACTATAGGTACCATGATAGGACTTGAACTCATCTTTCACACGAAAATTTGGGTTTAGGTTTTGGGTTTGGATCTTGGTTCGGATTTTTTAACACAAAATGGAAATGTGGAGGTGTAATGCCAATGTCTTACCAAGATTAAGTTTTTTGAGATGATGAGATGAAATATATGTGTGATGCTTCGGAATAGAGACGTGAAGGGAAACTGATTTGGGGAGAAAAAACTCTACCTCGCAACAATGGCCGAAACCCTTGGTATTGGGTACCCTATTCGCGAAATCTACCTGGGTACCCCATTACCTACCCGGGTAAATAATTCAAAAAATTTCCAGATCGAAGAACAATACCCGGGTACCCCACTACATACCCGGGTATGGTTGATTTTTTTAAAATATACCCGGGTATGGAGTGGGGTACCCGGGTATGCTTCGTGGTCAACGGTCAAACAGGGGCAGATTGGTGTTATGTTTGTTTGGAGGGTTAATTTTTCGTAATAGTTTCTAATCGAGGGCAATTTGGTAAATAATTATTAATAAAGGGCTACAGTGGTCAAAATGCCCCAAATACATACCATATTGATAAACCTTTAGTTTATGTTGTTTTTATAGGTTAAATTAATATAAATTATTAAGTTGAACAAATGAAAACTAGGGTTTTAACATAAAATCATGAACATTATCTGATTTTGAATTAATTAAACTACATTTGCTATTTTTAAGGGATTTGATGACAAATGGAGTCAAAGATGAAGATATGGATAGATGGAGAGCAAAACAAAAAGATTTGAAGATCTTATCAAGATTCCCAAGTTGTTAAAGAGGAGGCTTAAGCCCCAATTAGCAAGCTAAAGCCTCCAAAAATCAGCAAATGGCCTCTGCCTAAGCAAGCTTAAGCCCCCAATTAGCAAGCTAAAGCCTCCTGTATAGGCAAAAATTGGTTCGGCCTTAGCAAGCTTAAGCCTATTCCAGCATGCTTAAGCTCGAGCCAAGAAGGAAGTTCAGATTCGAAGAGCAAGCTTAAGCTCGCTCCAGCAGGCTTAAGCACGCTCCAGCAGGCTTAAGCTCGCTCTAGCAAGCTTCAGCGCGAAGGTTACTTCTGAATTAGTAAATCAGCAAGCTTAAGCGCGAATGAGCAAGCTTAAGCTCCCTGAAAGATCCAACTTAAGCCCACTTGAGGAATCCACTTAGGGCACGAATTCTTTACCCTTAAAAACACATTTGGGGGTTCAGAATCATGAACTTTTCATATTCTAAGAGAGTCTTTGGTACTTGGAGGCAGAGGGAACGCGGAGAAACACTCGGTTCATGTTCGTGAGCAGCAAAGACGGATCAACATCAAGTCTGCACTGGGGATATTAAAGATTCACGAATCATCTATGGAGTTTGGGGGAGCTTTTATATTGTCTTTCATTCTTGATATTGCTATGTCTGGCTAGTTCTTTAAGTAGTTAGGGTTAGAGGGAATTTAATCAAATGATTATGCGTTGAACAATTCGTATGTTAATTTTCTTTTATATCATGAATGAAATTATCTATTTTTAATGCTTTATATAGGCTTGAATCTTATATATTGATCTTAGGTGAATGCATGACAATATGAATGTTGGTGTGTGATCCTTATCTGATAATTTCATCGTACGCTTTATGATTCTAGGGATAGATATAGAGTTTGCGTAATCTTTAAGATTCTTGAACTTAATGCTCACGTTCTTGGGGAATAACCGGAGAACTAGGGTTCTTCCAATATCGTGAAGGTTTAGGGTAACAAGGGATTGATCCCTAATTACATGCGAAAGAATTGATTCAATTGATACTAAGGACGATTAACATTAAGGAGGAATTCAACCATAATAAAGAGATTAAAGGAAATCGAACCCCTAGCTGCGTTCTTTTAAATTAGTAAATTCAATCTTTAATTTCTTGCCTTTAATTCTTGCAATTAATTAGTTTCGTCTTTTAAATTTCAAATTCAATTTCCGTTCCAAATACAATTTCGATTGTCCAACTAAATTTGCAATAGTGAACTAGTGCTTGAGTATAATCCTCGTGAGAACGATATCTTATTCAATCATTATATTACTTGTACGATCGGTGCAGTTGCCGTGAGTAACCCAACACATATCGAGGGATTCATTATCACAAAACCAAATACACACACCAAATTTTGTCTGTTATACCACATGCACACCAAAATTGTACATACCATACCAAATCCAATACTATATTTCACCAATGACTTTCAAATACATGCCATGTGCTAATTCCTTATGTAAGCCTACATCACTTGCACCCATCCCAGTCTACTTCCAAATACACACAAAAACAATGATAATGACCAACATGATAACTCCTAATACCCCAACACATTTTCGAACACATAATATCATTCTCCACCCTAACAAACTTCCTCATCTTCATGAATCATGACCAACTCATTCACTTTGCCTTCTTCCAACTCAGGAAACATCAAGTTATTATCAACATTATCCATCATCCAGCCACAATATGGCTTTATAACTTGCAAAACGGGCAATTAGTAGCATTCCAAAAAGGTGAAAATTGAAGTAAAATTACAAACTATCAAAACAATGGTGCCATATTATGAATATTTCTGTGTGTTTCTTCTTCCTCTACTGGGGTAATTATATACATAAATGAGGACTCTAGATCCATTACAAATTAACTGTCAATCAGCTATGAATAAGGAAATGAAATAACCTGTTACTATTTCTATTTAATACAAAACTCCTATGAATATGTAATTATGTAATCAATGATTAAAATTCCAACAAGTGTACAACTTAGCAAATATTATCTCATTTCAACACAAACCACACTTAATACATCATAATCAAATTCATCACCTTATAATATGGGCATGTGAAAAATAGTCTGTTTGGATCCATTCATGACAGATTTTGAAGCGTGGACTATGACATTCCTCCCACACCCACATTTAGGACCAGCACCCTCACTATGATGCTTTGATCCCATACCTTAAGTCACCCAATGGTTGCTTTTGTTCGCGCTTCAACACAGGCGAAATTCCCTCTTCAACATCACTCATCACTCTCAAACCCAAACATGTTCAAATTGTGATCTTCTAGTTTGATAGTAATGATGAAGAATTTCAGTGTTTGGGAACGAAGGTAACGATGAAAAAGATGAAGAATTAGTCGGGGTATACATAAACCAGTCCAATCCAATCCAAATAGCATATGCATTATTTTATTTATGAAGTTACTATACCCTCTATACTTATATATATGTATAATTTTGTTGTGCATTGCTTCTCATATACTATTACCATACACACAAATAGTGTATGTTGGTATTTATGGGTATTGAATTGATTTGAGAATATTTGATTTAAGCAAACTCAAATTTTGATATGCACTATTTTGCAGTCTTTTGCTTATTATAGAGTTACTTTACAAGCTCCAACGTGTTAAAATATATGCAAAAGAATTTTAGGTTGCTGCTTCATATTCGTTCCTTTTATTGATACTGTAAGTATGTATTGTCTTTGCCCTGTTACTTATATTCTTTTTGTGTTGAAGGATTTATTGATGTAAAATATGTAGAATTGAATTAATAAGTTGAGAAATCTGGAACAGAAAAAAAAAAAAAAGCAGAATATGAAAATTAGCTACATGTATTGGAGATTTTTTTTTTTGTTTTGGTGGAATGCATTGTGGAATTTTGAACAGACATATATTTTTTGTTTCACTGATAATTTATAATTTGGAGTTATGATTTTTGTATTGATAAATGTGACTACCAGTAATATCTATGATATAACTTATGAGAAAGATGGAACGAGTTATTTTATTTATTATTTTTTTTTCTATCACTTTAAAAGATCATTAGATTATAATTTTAATTAATATTTATCTTTCTCTTTTCTTTGAATTTTGATCTAATGATTTTTAGAGTGATAGATAAAAATAAATAAATAAAATGACAGATAGAATAACCTAAAAAAAATATAACGTCTCTTGAAAGGAAAACAAATATTATTATTATTGTTACGATTGAACTTCATCGTACACCATCGGGTTATCTTTATCTTCTGCTGCCGAGGGACGAAACAGCGACTGATTGGGAACCCTAATTTTGAGAACATCTCTAAAATCAGAGCTCTATCACCTCCAAATTATCAGGTAATTTATATCATTCCCTAATTTTGCCCTAATTGTTTTCTTCCTTCTTCTTTTCCCCTTTGTTTCGATCCTAATTCGACCATTTCTTTTCCTTTCCCAATTTTTTTTTTTAAAACTCTCATGCTGAATGGATCTTCGTAAGAGCATGCACATTTGCACAAATCATAACCTAAATTTTGTAGAACAAGATGTGTTCATTGTTCATGTGGCTCTCCGTGCGTGTGTATTTGGCAAGATTTCTTTTAGCTGTTTATAAACTTGGGTTGAGGTGAAACTTTCAAGTTGGGGATTGACAGGATTGTTTGGTTCGTTCAATCTTATGATGACATTAGCATGTGCTAGTTGTGGAGCTTGTTCTAACCTTGGATTTCCCAATCCGAACTGATCGTTGGGAAGTGAAATTGTTTTTTAGCGTGTTAATGAAATACTTGGATATTGTGCTTTCTCTCGTGATCAAATTTCACTTGTTAGCCTCTGGTTTTGTTGCTTTTCTATTTGTATGTTTACCCTTGCCAGGATTCCTCATAGTATTGTGACTGCTGGTTGCTGTGTAAGGTGTTAAATGCTAATGGAGAAATCTTAAGGAGTAAAATGACATATAGGAACAGAGGTGAAAACATTTCATTGCATTTATCTAATTGCTGCAAGTTTATCCTTAAATTATTATACTTTTGCTGTTGTGACTCCATGGGTTCCAAATTAGTCTAAATATTGGGGGTTGTGGAGGGTTGGATATTCTCCACCACAGGAACCAATTTGTTTGAAAAAATTCGTAGTAGGGAGACTAACTTTGACATACACACGCACTCATTTTTGTTCTTGACACTATATTGATGGGATGCTGGTGGAACATAAGGTTTGGACCTTTATAAAGCATGCTAACTAAATTATGAGGAACTGAACGTCTTCTATTGAAATTTTTTTTAGATAGAGACAATTATGCAGTATACATATGCTTCTATGATGGAATACCTGATTATGAAATGGATATTGTAGTCCAAGGGACTGCATATTTTTGTGGTTCCATTCAACAGGTTTAGTGTTATTGTCTGAAATGGCATCAGTGTCTAGTCAGCCACAGTTCCGTTACACCCAGACACCCTCAAAAGTGCTTCACTTGAGAAACTTGCCATGGGAGTGCACAGAGGAGGAACTGATTGAACTTGGGAAGCCATTTGGTAAAGTTGTGAACACAAAGTGCAATGTTGGAGCAAATCGAAATCAAGCTTTTATTGAATTTGTAAGTGGAATATGTTCTCTTTCTTCCTCTATTTTGTTTTTCCTTTTATAGGAAGCTACTGCTAGTAGTTATAAATCATATGTTGTAACCTGCAGGCAGACTTAAATCAAGCCATTGCAATGATATCATATCATGCCTCATCATCGGAGCCTGCTCAAGTACGGGGGAAAGCTGTGTATCTACAATATTCCAATAGGCAAGAAATAGTGAATAATAAAACTGCTGCAGATGTTGCTGGAAATGTACTTTTGGTAACAATTGAGGGTGCAGATGCACGCCTTGTCAGCATTGATGTTATGCACTTGGTAAGAAGCAATTGCATGTATGTCTTAGCTATATGCTAAAATTGTCATCATGTGGATGCTGGTCATTTAGTTTTGTGATTAGGTTTTGCTTTGTCAGGCTGTGGAAAAATTGTTGACATATATGTAAATGAATCAGCAGGCCCATGTCAAGGCAATATCTTCGATGGCAGCTTAGTGCTTTGGGAGAAAGAGCACATGTGTGTTTGTCTCCTTTCTCCTTTCCTTAACACTGCCTCTTTCTTCCCTATTCTTCCCCTCAACTCCTACCATTGTTGTAGACTTGTAGTTTAGGATGTTGCCATTCTTTTTTCATTTGTGCATCTGTGCTTCATATCTGAGGTGGCATTTTGCTTGTACTATGTCTACATTTAGTTTTGGACTCTCTGCTTTAAAGTTATTTAATTTGTGTATCCATTATTGTTTGTTTGTGTTTTAAACCTTTTGAGCTTTATTTGAAGTAAGTTAATTTCCCTTCTAAACTTGCCAATTGAATGCTGAGTTGTTATGTGACTTACAGTTGATGAGCAATCTATTTGAATTGAAGTGGCAAAATGAATAATACCACTACCTTCAAAATGTCAAATATAAGTATTGTTTTAGTTATATATTTTAAGCAGTTATTTATTTCCGAAAACCATGATCTAAATTGAATCACTCAGATAAATTATCCTCTACCACTTACCTCCCACCCCCATTTTCTGCACTTAACACTATAGCTTTGAAAACAATTGTTGTGATGGTTTCTTGATGCACCATTAACCCTCAGCATTTGCTTACAATGGTTTAATTCATCCGACACCAAAATATGCCTCAAAAGTAGTATTCTATTTGCATTTCAAGAAATATATAGATTTGCTTAAACATGAATTCTGATATTTATGTCTAATCATGGCTTTGTTTGTTAGTCCTTTTTTGTGTCCACAAAATGGTATTTGTTAGTTCATGTAGATGGGAATTGTTTTGCTTATATTTTTAAAATCTAGGTATGTTAACTTTCCCAGTTTTCTACAATGTACCTTAGATAGCACCTGATATTGTCCATTTCCTGGTTGATTAGTAAGATTCATCTTATTAAATATTGTTCTGAAAGTTAATTATTCACTGATGCAGGTTTTTTCAGCCTTTGGATTTGTGCACAAGATTACTACATTTGAGAAGACAGCAGGATTCCAGGTTTAATGATTGGTCACTCTTATCTATTATGGTTTTTTATTTTTATCCCATGAGCACAAACTTATTCTATATACAACTGTTTAGGCCCTGGTGCAATTCTCAGATGCAGAAACTGCCACTTCTGCAAAGGATGCTTTGGATGGAAGAAGCATACCCAGGTGACAGTTGTATTACTTTTTTGACATGGTATTTATTTCAACTGTGGTGGACACATAGCTGTTGATATGGTGCATGTCCTCAGACGGGTCAACTGTTAGACTTCACACTTTGGCTTTTGTTTATTTATTATGGAGTTTATATACTTTGTTTTTGCACTTGTTGTAATTGTGTAAATCATTAAATGTGAGAAAGATATAGTTTCCTGCATCATTTCAACTGGACCAATCATGAGTAGAAAATGTGCTAAGTTTGAGTTTGACTGCAAATTAGTAGTTGTACATTCATTAGCTCTGCTGATGAAGTTATATACCTTATGCATTATTATTGCTCAGTTGTTGTTCGTTTACGATAATTGATCTTTAATTTTGCCCCCCTTGGTATCAGGTACCTGCTCCCTGAGCATGTGGGACAATGCACCCTTAGGATCACATATTCTGGGCATTCAGACTTAAGTGTCAAGTTTCAAAGCCACAGAAGCAGGTATTACTGATTTCTTTGGTATCTTAGGCATACAGGAAACCAAGTTTTTGCAGAACCATTATTGTTTTTGATCTGTGTTCTTTCATTCCCCTGGTGGTTTTTAATTTATTGTTTGTCATGGGTATTGATTCTACATCTCACCCTGCATATAATTTTTTAGCCCCTTTATTTCTATGGTAATAATCTTTTTTTTTTTTAACTATTGTCGCTTTTTCTCTTGCTTCAGAGACTACACTAATCCTTACCTTCCTATTGCTCAATCAGCCATGGAGGGAAGTGGACAGGTAATGCTTTGATAGTTATTATTTCTCTGTTTTCTCTTTTGATTCATTTCAATGTGTAAATGAAGCTTTCCCAATTGCTTATTTTAACTTGATGTGCACTTCATGCAAGGTGTGCATACTACCACGGGGTTGCCATGCATGTTGACTTCCTTACTAAGGAATTTGTTTTTATAAATTTATTTACAATTTTTACAGTCCATGATGGGCTTGGATGGGAAGAGACTGGAGGCCGAAAGCAATGTCCTTCTGGCATCTATTGAGAACATGCAGTATGCAGTAACCTTGGATGTCTTACACATGGTACTGTAAGCTACCGTAGGCAGTTGCAAATTTTTGGCATTATTGATTAACAGTACTGTTTAGTTGATAAGATACTATTACTACCTTTTGTCTGCGTTCTGTGACAGGTTTTCTCTGCTTTTGGACCTGTCCAAAAGATTGCTATGTTTGATAAGAATGGTGGTTTGCAGGCTCTGATTCAATATCCAGGTTAGGTTAGGTTCTTTGAATAGCTTTACCCATCTCTGTTTAGATATATTATGTATGTACCATTGATTATTAGGGTTGTGCAAATTGGTGTGCTTATCAATATTCTCTCTGTTGCCTAGGTTTAAAAATTAAATTTGGGGTAAGTGTTCAAATGTGCTTCTCTGTTGCCTGGTTCTGTGAAAATCCGGTATTATGATTTACAAATTAATGGGGAAAAGGGAAAGTGTTACTGTGTGCCTTTGTGTATATATACTTTGCTGAATTCCCTTGTTTGCAGTTTTTTCCTTGGAGTTTCTGCCCCATATGATCTAAAATCTAATGTTACTTAAAAGTTAAAACTGTAAGTGGTTCCTCACTGAGATGATTCATTTTGGATTGAGATGTGTAAGAAAGATGCTACTCGAAGTACCTTCTTTTTCTTCTCACAATTTTCCTTTTAGATTAATAATTTTCCTAAGATTCACTGATTCTCCTAAGGATTATGGGTTTGTTACTTGCTGGGATTTCCCCAGAACTGTGTGCACCTGTCTGGCAGGTTTGATATTAAAACCAGGGTGGTGCTATAAATTTCATGTTAGGTAGGCCAAACACAATTAAATAATAAATTTTTAAAAGTTTTAGAATAATTTAAAGGGATGTCTTGAGCCTTGGGGGCTGTGGTCCCCACCAGCCTCCCACAGTTTCTGTCATTGAAACAAAAGTGGACCACATCCCCCCACGGGCTCTGTCATTGAAACAAAAGCTATCTATGCATTTACGAGTCTGCATGGTGATTTTGTCCTTATTGTTAAATAGAAACATTTTTCTTGTTTCATTTGATAATTAATGTTATGATATGTTTGAGATCTTGACATACAATGGATTACAGATATTCAAACTGCCGTTGTGGCCAAGGAAGCCTTGGAAGGACACTGCATATATGATGGAGGTTATTGCAAGCTCCACATCTCATTTTCTCGTCATACTGATCTTAGTATAAAGGTAACCAGCCTACAATGTCTGAAGCACTAGGTTTCATGTTATTTTACTAATACTTGGAAGAGTCTAGTGTAATAAAAAAAAAAAATAGAAATGAAATGATTATAGTGAATAGGAGATACAGTCTTGTCACTCTTGTGCGACTATGATAAAACAATGGTCCATCTGCTATATAAGCGAACATAGCCAGCTCTGTTTGTGGGATGCACAGTTTACTGAACACGAAACTTGAGACTCTTGTTTTGGACCTTAAGATATCGGGGTTGATGGAGGTGTTTCAATATAGGCTGAAACTTTCCAGGTTTCCCTTACTATCAAATGTTGTTGAATTTCTTGACTGCATTGACGTAAGGTTCCCTTCTCAAATTATTTCAACTTTGCTGTTCAGTGCTGGGTTTTCCTTTTTGTGTTTTCGGGGATGGTGGTGGCCCCTTCAGTTAGAATTGAATATAATCAAATCATTTTTCAAGCTTTCAGCAATTAAGAATCCATTTGTGGGTATTCACTTTTAAAATTTACTTCTATGATGTGTATGGGGGTTTAAATGTTTCAGTATTTGTGTGATTACAGGTCAATAATGATAGGAGTAGAGACTATACTATTCCTAATGCACCTGTAGTGAACACTCAGCCTTCAATTTTAGGGCAACATCCAGTTCCCATGACGGGTGCTCCTGCTCAACAATACAATGGACCTCAGTACGCTCCAATTACTGAGCAGACTATGATGCCTCATTCTCAGGCTGGATGGGGAACAGTTCCACCAATAGTACCTCAGTCTATGCCACAGATGCATAATAATCCTTACATGCCACCTGGTACAATGCCACAACAAACGGCCCCAGGAATGATGCAGTTTCCTAGTCGCATTCAATAGCATGCATCTCCCATGTCTCAAATAGACCAACAATTGGCTAGCAGAGTCAGCGCATCTGCAGAAGTGAGGATCACAATTTAATTCGGGTTTCCTATATGGGGAAACTGGCCTACATTTGCTGGCTTGATTCTGAATCTCATAGTATGTTTCTCCCTTGGTTGATTTTTAGATTTTGAATTTATGTAAGCAAGTGGTCAAGAACTTTTTCTTGGTTGGCAACTTTGAAACAACTACTCAATCTATTTTTCTTTTATTTTGATCTTTGTTCATGATTTCTAATGGCTTATTTTGGCACATGTTGCTCTTAAATTAATGATAAAAGTCAATGAAATAAACATTGTCAAATGTCAAAGGAATTTTACGGTAACTTTTATCCTTTGAGAATTTTAGACTCTCAGGTTCTAACTTTAGCGAATAGATCATTCCATTCAAGAAAGCAAAGATAAGGGATCAATTTCGGGAGGATTTCAAAAGAACTTCCTTCGACAAGGGTTTCTTTTGGTGATTTTTTCTTTTATCAATATCATAGCGTATACTTTTGAGCGATTGCAATTTTTTAAGCTTTGATTCATTTGTATTGCCAAAGTTATACAAATACTTTGAAACTATAAGGCCACTGGATAGTTAAGATCTTGCCCAACAACTGTCATGGATTGGAGACCATTTATTGAAACTATGTCATTTTGGAGGTTTGCATGGTGTTGGAAGCTTGACTTCAATCTAAATTTGTTTTTTTATAAAGAAAAGTAAGTCATTTGTGAAAATTGTTTTTAATACACCCATTGAAGACACAACAACCTCTGTTTGCTATTATGGTATCCTCACGAGTAGTGTACTTCGGCACAGGGTGTATTGTATTACATCACGTTATAGCCTCCAAAAATAATTGTTTCTCGTTAATTCCTTCATTTAATGTCTTACCTTTGTGGTCTCTATTGGGACACCTTTTGAGGTCCAAACTTTGTCCATTTCCTTATATGTGACACACCCTTTAGCTCTAAACCTGCAACGTCAATTAAATTAAAATAAAAATAAAAAAAATAAAAATAAAAAATCAACATTTTCAACAAGTGCCCCAGCTATCACTCAAAGTATGAATGAAATAGTGAAAAAAATCTGAAGCCGGCGCCAATTTCAGTCGTGGATAAGGTTCTACTTCTACGTCTTGTTCTTTCTCAAATGCTCTCTTTCTCTCTCTTAACTATTTCATACCCTCCTCTCTTTTCTTCCCACACAGAGAGAAGAGAAGAAGAAGAAGAAAGACAATAATTAAGGGATAAACATAAACCCTAACATAACAATGGCCACACTTCAAGCTTCCCTTCTTTCCAAACCTTCTCTTCCATTTCCATTCCCATTCCTCTCTCCAAACCACTCCACATTCTCCCTTCATCACATCTCTTTCAATCCAAGCTTCCACCATTCCACGCGACTCCGCCCGCGCGTCCCCTCCACCTCGCTCTGCACATTTCGCCCCGACAGCGTAAGTTCTCCGCCCGAACCGAACCCTGATCGTTCCGAACCGAAATCCGGTTCGGCATATGAGGAACCGGAAACCGGCACCGTTGACGGAGATGAAAGTTTAAATTTGACAGAAGAAAGTGCAATTGCGGTTTCAGATTTGAACGAATCGAAGCTCGAAGCGGAAAGGTCCGTGACTGTGGCGTGGAGTGGTGTTGATTTGGAGAGCAAAGGGAAGAGTGTGAATTTGGCTGGGAAGGAAGAGGAGGTTGTTGATGGTAGGTTACCGATCGTGGTGTTCTTTGTGGGACTGTGGGTGAGGGCGAGAGAAGGTGTGAAGAGGGCTTTCTCGGAATTCATTGATTGGTGGCCGTTTTGGAGGCAGGAGAAGCGTTTGGCGCGATTGATTGCAGAGGCCGACGCCAATCCTCAGGACGCTTCCAAACAGAGTGCTCTGTTTGTTGAGCTCAATAAGCACAGGTATGCCTGGCATTCAACGTGGAAACGATTTGGAAATTTGGAAATGTTGTTGAGCTTAATTCGTTAGGTTTAAGATTCAAATTGATGTCCAAATAATGAAGTGGGATAGAAGAAAATTTAAATGTTGTGTTTGGGAGAATGAATTTGAGTTTTATTGAAGAATGTAGAGAAAAAAAAAAATTTGACATTAGGGAAAATGCAGCGAGGTATACAATATTACTTCTTAGTTCTTTGACCCGGAAGTTTTGTGTTAAAGTTCGCCAGCATTTTTTTTTTTAATTTTTATTATTTTTTTCTAGTCCCGAGTCTGTCATCAAGCGATTTGAACAAAGAGACCGAGCTATAGACAGTAGAGGGGTTGCAGAATATCTTCGAGCTCTTGTGATCACTAATGCCATTGCTGAATATCTTCCAGATGAGGAATCTGGAAGACCTTCTGCCCTTCCTACCCTGGTAATTATTTTGAATAATTTGAATTCTTGTTCTTTTTGTTTTTCAATTTTCAGTTTGTATTACCATATTCTTAATACCTCATTTTTCATAAATGGAGGTGGAAGAGTGCACTAGGACCGAGTTTGACACAACTTTTTTTTTTAAGCTAAAAGCCACTTTTAAGTTAAAGTTAAAAAAATAAAGCTAAAAGTTGTTTGATAATTGTATAAAGTTGTTCTTAGAGTTTTGAAGGGAGAGAGATGAAATGATTTACTATTAGGGTAAATTATTACTATTTAGGGTAAATGATAACTTTATACATAAAACTTCAGAATAAGGGTAAAATTGGAAAATAAATGAGAACTTCAAAAAGCTTCTCTTGGGAGCTTTTAGCTTTTTCTTTTTTTCTTCATTATTAAAAAAAGTTCTTTTGTGATAAGAGCTTTTGTAAAATTATGTTTGGTTGAGCTTCTTCCTATAAGAGAAGCTAAAAATTAGAGTTCCCAAACAGATATTAGACATCTTGTTTGGTATCTGTTTGTTGATATTAGTCTGTCTAACATAAATTTTGTTTGTTTTATTTCCCACAAGTATGCTTGAAGAGGTTTGGACTTTTGTTGTAGTAGATAAATTCCATCTGTGACTGTTTTAATTGAACTGCTCAACCGATGTGTTTCATATCCTGATGTACTGCATTATTTGTTTGAAAGGATGTCTTATTCTTATCAAGTTGTAAGTTTTATGCAGCACTGTTCATCTAATTTTTAACTTTTGCATAGATTCCTATGCTAGAAAATTTATTTTTTTTGCTGATCAATGTTGTATTTTCCAGATTTGTTGATCATTATGATCCTAGTCTTATGATGCAAACTTGACATGATTGGTTATGTAAATTTGGACTATTTCTTTCTTCTTCTTTTTTCCACCTTGGTTTTGGATGATCTTATCTGAGCATATCCTGGATCTAGTGCCTCAATGCATACTTTTTGCATATGATATAGTCCTAATGGGAGTGTCAAGTGAAGGAATCAATGGTGAACTAGAGTTGGAGAAAAGCTTTGGAAGCACATGGTTTCCCATTAGGTGTAAGTAAAATGGAGTATATGGAATATAAGTTTAACACGTGCTCTAGCATTAGCTTAGAGATAAAAATTGGAGATCATATCATTCCACAAGTTGCAAGGTTTAAGTATTTTGATCTATTTGTTAGAGATGTGATAAAAGTATAAATATCATTCACATGCTTTAACCTAATAGCTTAATCTTTTGGAATAGTTGGTTCGTAATATGGTATTAGAGCCTATTCTTGAGTCGATTCTCTTTCTTCTCTCTCTTTCAACATGGTATCGGAGCCTTTATAATCAAGTGGTCTAGTTTGATTCTTGCCACTTATATTCTTTTAAAACAAAAAAATGTTGAAATTAAGCACAAGGTGAGTGGGCCTGTGTATTGTCTATATTTCAAGTTCAAAGTGCTCTTGCGTGAGGGAGAGCATTGGATATATTATTTAAGTATTAAAACCATTTATGTGCTTTTACCTAGTTGGTAGGATTCATGTTAGGTGGATGAAATGCAGGAATGCGTCAAGTGTTATTTGTGATTGAAATGTGCTTCTCAAGTTTTAAAGGGAAATTTTACTGCACAGACATAGGGCCTGTGATGCTGTATACTGTATAGTAGTTAATATTAGGCGGTAAAGAACCAACAAGAGCATAAAGTTAGTGTGCAGAGATGAGTATGTTGCAGCATATGAGTGAACATACAAGACAAGATAGGATCAGGAATGAATGCATTAGAGAACAATTAGGGGGTAATACTCTTTTTTATACGTATATACAAACTTTTAGTCAGTATTTCTCCCATATACATTTCTTGATCGGAATTATTTGATTTGCCCTCTTCTGTTGAAAATCCATCATAGAATTTATAATGGAGCCTAAAATATGATTCTTGTCATCCTATTCTTGCAATTTTTCCATTTGTTAACTTGAACTTTCTTTTGATGATAATTACTGCCTCATTTGACATTCTTAGTTCATAATTTACTTGTTTTATACCCTAGGCAACTTATGGTAAACATATTTTTCAGTTGCAAGAGTTGAAGCAGCGTGCATCAGGTAACTCAGATGATACATTTCTTAGCCCTGGAATTTCTGAGAAGCAGCCATTACATGTGGTTATGGTAAAAATTATTGCCAAAGACTTTCTCTATGCTTTATTTTTTAATGGTTAGCATTTTTAAATATATAGAAACTTTTCTTTTCTAAACCGGATTTTTTTTGTTTGTTCTTGGTATCTTATGAAGCTGTTTCCTCCTGCAGGTTGATCCAAAAGTATCAAACAAATCACGTTTTGCTCAGGAGCTTATCTCAACTATTTTGTTTACTGTAGCTGTGGGTTTGGTCTGGTGTGAGCCTTTAGTTTCCTTCTCTCTCTCTCTCTCACACACACACTCTCTCTCTCTCTCTCTCTCTCTCTCTCTCTTGTGCATAGCATTCACTCTTTGATTGTTGTGTACTTGCTTTGCTACTGTATATCCTGTCAGGTTTATGGGTGCTGCTGCACTTCAAAAATACATAGGAAGCTTGGGCGGGATTGGAACTTCAGGTGTTGGATCAAGTTCTTCCTATGCCCCAAAGGAGCTAAATAAGGAAGTGATGCCAGAAAAGGTTAACTTGTTAATCTGTTCTAACTGACTTAAACTGATTTCTATTACAATATGGAAAATGGATAATTCTTAATTTCTTTAAAATCAGATGATTGAATAGCTTAGAAATGGATAAGCTTCAAATTTGGGCTGTCAGTGTGCATTTTGGATGAGAAGATTTTAAGTGCAATAGGTTTATGAACAATGGCATGATATATAATATATGCGTAATCCTTTCTTTATCCAAATAAAATCGTCCTGGTTAATCATGCCATTACTTGCTATTTTGTGGACCAGTCAATTAGAAAGTTGGAAATTTTGGAAAATTTCACCACACCCATTAGTTCTGAAAGTATATCTAATACTATCAAGTGGGTCATTTAGAGTTTCTTTATTTTTTTTGTATGGGAGGTCTTGCATGTAGAATATATCAGCAAATTAGAAATTCTGCCATACCTCCTTTTCCCATCTTTTTTACATTTAAGGTCTCTCTTTCTCTCTTGTTGCAGAATGTAAAAACATTTAAGGATGTGAAAGGTTGTGACGATGCAAAGCAAGAACTTGAGGAAGTAGTAGAGTACCTAAAAAATCCATCTAAGTTTACACGCCTTGGAGGAAAGTTACCAAAGGTCTGAAGAGGTTATTTTGTCTTTTTTTTTTTATCCTGACAGCTTTTGTTCATATTTCTACTCTACATGCATAGGCTTCTTTTTTCCTAGTACGAAGACCTAATGTTCCATCACTTTTTATGAGAACTTAACATATTTAATCCATCTCCTTCTGCAAATTTTGTTGTTCATGGTAACAAACATGTTAGGTTATGGTCATCATAATGTTATATATAAGTATTCTCTTTATTTGTTTTCGTTGTATGCATGCTGATGAACTAGCTTGGCGTATTATAAGATACCGTGTTTCTCAATGTGCATTGGTTGTTACATTTTGTTCATAAAATGAGGCTAAGGCATTTCTCTTTTCAGGGGATTCTTTTGACAGGAGCACCTGGAACAGGAAAAACTCTGCTGGCCAAGGTCAGTTATTTTCCGTTTCGTCAGACATTTTTGTACAACATTTGCAAATTTATTGTCATAACTCTTGTTCAATTAAAACTTATTGGTCTTCTTCAATGTGCTTTTGTCATTCATTGTCATTCTTGATGTGCCACGCTGCCATTGTTATATGCTATTAGGAAGTTCATAGTACATAAATCTAGAGTTCTAGACTCTGGTTCTTGTCTCTCACTTTGATATTTTTTATGCACTTTGCATAATTCTTCTGTGCTGTAAATACAATCCTACTTTGTTGTCATCAAAATTTGAGTTAATCTATTCAAATTCGTAATTATTATGATCTGATAGTGTGTGCTTTATCTTGGACCTTGAAGGCTATTGCTGGAGAAGCTGGTGTTCCATTTTTCTATCGGGCAGGGTCTGAATTTGAGGAGATGTAAGTGTTTGGCTTTCTATATTTTTAATAGCTTAAATTTTGAGCATTACCACACGTTATATATAGGTTTGAGATCTAAAACAGGATATTGCATGCTATTATGCTAGAATATAATGAGGGTACATTATATGTTATCTTGAAAATTATGCATAAAGAATGCTGTTATATTGCAACTTTGTTAACAACAGTACAGTTGTCAATTGTAATACATACAATATGTTTCCAATGCTTTTCTGTTATTGATTACTAGATCTCATTTATTATTGCTTTCTAATGGGAACATACCCTTATCAACCATATGCCATAATGATATTGTTAACTCAGTAAGTGTCAGTCTTTTGTTAACAAGAAGCACTGCCTTTCTCTGGTCCCCTTTTCTTGGGGGGAGGGGGAGTATAGAACCATTTTGTAGAACTGGATGTATTATTTGTTGGTTAGATTCCTAAATTGAATTTGAGCTTCTTGACATATTGAACTCATGTTTGTTGTTAAGACATATGGAAAGATTTTTTTTTTATTTTTCTTTTGTTGTAGACTATATGAAAATAATTTAGTATCTCTGTCAAGGGCCCTCGATTTCCAGCTGACTGTGATGGAATTGGCTTTTTATGATCTCTATTGGAAGGGAATAAATCCAAATAATTGGAACAGGCAAAATATATAGTACAGAATGATGGGTTAATAACTGTAAATAACCAATTCAACCCAAAAGCTTAAGCTGGTGGGTGAGGGCTTTTTAATGGTTTTATATATCTCAACACGCCCCCTCACACGAGAGCCCATCGTGCTTGAAGGGTGAACAATGCACAGGTCCACCTACCTGTGCTAAGAAATTCCTCAAGAGAAAGTGGGGGGCGGTGAGGATCGAACTCGGGACACGAAACTCTGATACCATGTAAATAACCAATTCAACCCAAAAGCTTAAGCTGGTGGGTGAGGGCTTTTTAATGGTTTTATATATCTCAACAATAACATTCTAGAATTTCTTTATCTGTGAGATGTGTGTGACACTCTCTACCTTGGTAAATTAGATGCTCAAATGTTCTCATGTGATCTCTTAACAAAATGCTAAATTTAATCTTTGTTTGTTCAGGCAGTTGTGAGTTCATGGATGGATCTTTTGTGCTTGTACTTATATATATATATATATATATATATATATATATTGTAGCCATTTGTTATCACATTAAGGGATGTTGTTATATGTTGGTTGTTAGGGATGATAATTTTCATGTTGCTATTCATTCTCAGGTTTGTTGGAGTTGGTGCTCGACGTGTAAGATCCTTATTTCAAGCAGCCAAAAAGAAGGTTTGTTGCTTTTTGAAAATGGTCTCTGAAAACTGTCCATATTTGAGTTTACCCTGTACAACATGGTTCCTTTATTTGTTTCTGACTGTGGAACAATCATTTTTTGCCTCTATCTTTTTTGTAGGCTCCTTGTATCATCTTCATTGATGAAATTGATGCCGTTGGATCAACAAGGAAGCAGTGGGAGGGCCATACCAAGAAGACATTGCATCAACTACTTGTTGAAATGGATGGGTTTGAGCAGAATGAGGTATCTTTGAACAATTTGGAGTGCAATTAGTTCCTTTCTGCTTTTCCAAATTTATATATCTTTTTTATTTTGTAGGGAATAATCTTAATGGCTGCAACGAACTTGCCTGATATTCTTGATCCAGCTTTAACGAGGCCTGGTAGATTTGATCGGCATGTAAGTTCTTATATTCCTTTTTCATTTCCAGCAGAAGAAATTATTAAGAGAAAGGAGAGAAGTAGAAAAACGGATGATAATAAGCCCTCCTAGGATAAGAAAAAACAAACTAAACAAGAGACAAAGGAAAATAAAAAAGTATAGCTCAAAAATGTTTTCCATTTTCTCTGTCTATCCATTGAGGAAACCCTTTGAAAGAACCATGAGCTCTAACCCACGTGAAATCCAAAAAGACAACACATAGGGAAGAAGAATTGTCTGATAAAGCCTCTGGCATTTTGCTCATGCTACAAACCTGCAAGATGAGGATACTCCCAAAGGATCTTACACTCCTAACCAAAACCTCTAAAACATAATGAACAAAAATTGTCTGTGGAGCCTTGATAAATCCAATGTTCTTTGGTTATATAAAATGTTTGCTTTTATTTGGTGCCAGAATTTTCAAGGACAATATTATGATGTTGTTTATAGTATGTGATATAGTGATCTTCTTAATCTCTTTACGGTGTGTTGTAATTATAGGGTTTGCATAGGGAAGGAGGAAGAAAGAGAAAGGAGGCTCTCAATAATAATCTATTAGATTAATATGGTGTGATACAAAATACTAACATAGTGGTCCTATTTATACTAATAATTGGGTCAGGTACTACTTGTGTGTTATTAGTAATAAAGCCCATGCTCACTAATATAATAAGAATACTAACCCTAATAAGTTAAAAAGGAAACAAGTCAGGAAATATAATGAAATTGGTTTGTAGTAGCAGCACTTGTACATGAAATGATTTAATTGTTAGTATAAACGAAGAGTATTAGGTTAAGGTATTGCGCAACATTCCACTATCAACCATATTTCAATTTACTACTTTTACCATCTTTCTTTCTTTTCCTTCTTCCCTAACCCTAAACCAATAATTCTCAACATAAACAAATTAGGAAATATAATGAAATCAAGAGAAACTTCTAAGATTGCTTCCTCAATTAGATGACAATATATTCTAAGGTTTTATAAAATATTAAAATTTTCTAAGATACAATAAAGATATAGTTATTATAAAATATTTTGTAGATATTCTAAATTGGTGCTCAGTTCATAGCTATTTTAGAGGGGTTTCTCTATTAGTCGTACAAAGGGACTGGCTAGCTTTGCTTACATGACATGCTTTTTCCTGTTGTGGTTTTTTTGAGCTTCCTTTTGGAGTATACTTCACTTGATTGTGAGCTAACTGGCTAGCTTTGCTTACATGACATGCTTTTTCCCGTTCTGGGTTTTTGATCTTCCTTTTGGAGTATACTTCACTTGATTGTGAGCTATTTCTAGATTTCATTTCGAATAAATTTTTGTGAGGCTCTTCAAGCGGTCAATTGACAAGATGACAAAATTAAGGCTCAAGGATCCTATGATCAGGTCTACATAGTAGGATATTATCTGCTCTGCTTTTGTGTGGCTTTCATTCTTTGCTCTAATAATTTATTCATTTTATCCAAAAATTAAAATTAAAATGTCTGCGAAGCAACCTTGCAATAAAGAATATCAAACTGTTGTCCTGAATGCAAAAGTTAGTTTGCTATTTATAATTTGGGAATTGCTATAGTACCCTTATGGGTGTTGTACCCAAGATGCGTTGTCAAGTATTAGTGATTGTTAATTTCACAATAAGTATTTAAAAATCTATTAAATATAAGTAACAACCAATGAAATACTTGAAAACTTACCTTGGGTACTAAACCCTCGGAAAAAAGTGGGTACTGGAGTAATGCCCATATAATGTAAAAGAAGACTAACAAATTCCCAATTCCAGATTGTTGTACCAAATCCAGATGTACGAGGTCGGCAAGAAATATTGGAACTCTACTTGCAAGATAAACCTATAGCTGATGATGTAGATATTAAAGCAATAGCTCGTGGTACCCCAGGATATAATGGTGCAGGTAAATTATTATTATATGTTTGACATTACTTATTTTTCATTAATGCAAATCTTATACTTCTTCAAGTTTCTGATTGATGTTCATTATTATATTTTCCCTTAAACTAGATCTTGCAAATCTCGTAAATGTTGCTGCCATTAAAGCTGCGGTTGAAGGTGCAGAGAAAATAACGGCTTCACAGTTGGAGTTTGCAAAAGACAGAATAATGATGGGTACAGAGCGGAAAACAATGTTTATATCAGAAGAGTCAAAGAAGGTAAGTTAGTATGCCAGGAAATTTGGTTTAGTACTTAAACTTATGGACTGCGGCCTTTGTTATTGACATAAACCATAGGTTTAACCATGTAAGTCACCTCATTTTAAACCTTATTTTCTTCTCTAAAATTTTACATGAAATGCAAATATGCAAGAGTAAGGCTGTATATAATCGACTCTTTTCTCTACCCTTGGGAGTTGGAGAGCCTTGTGCACCGGAATCTTTCCTTTTATAATCAGTGTATGCTGGTATTTTTAAATGTTTTCTCTATCCCAGTTTGCAATATTAAGTAAATTTTGTAAACTAATAACCTTTTGTTTATGGTTAATAAAAAATAATTTTGATGTATGGCCATTCATGAATGGGGAACCTTGACATCATGGTTGGTGTTATAGCCATGTGACCGGAAGATCATAGGTTCGATTCATGTAATCAGCCTCTTACAAATGTAGGGCTGCATAATATTAGGAATGGATCCTCTCATATCTCATTTAACATGACCAAATCATGTGGGACAATCTTAGCTGTTCTTAGACAAATCAATGGTAATAATAAGAGAGAAAGCGTTAGCATAGAGAGTGAGGAAAGAATAATGATTGATTTGTCCATGAATGGTTGAGATTGTCTCACATGACTTGTTTATATTAAAGAGACATGAGAGGATCCATTACCGCCTGCCGTAGACCCAAACAATGGGTCTGCCCCTTCTCTTCCTTGGATGCACAAGAGCTTTATAGCACCAGAATGCCCTTTTATGTATGCCCACTGGTATGTGTTAATATTGCTTACGAAAATTTCAGCTTACTGCTTATCATGAGAGCGGCCATGCAATTGTTGCCCTTAACACTGAGGCTGCACATCCAATTCACAAGGCAACAATCATGCCACGTGGATCTGCTTTAGGAATGGTTACTCAGCTTCCCTCAAGTGATGAGACATCAATAAGCAAGAAGCAATTGTTAGCTCGCCTTGATGTTTGTATGGGAGGAAGAGTTGCAGAAGAACTTATCTTTGGTCGGGATTATGTCACAACTGGAGCAAGTAGTGATCTTCACACGGCTACTGAGCTTGCCCATTACATGGTAATTTTCTCCTACCCCGTTTAGTGTCAAGTGCAGTCTTGGCATCTGTTGGACAAGAAGTCATTTTTATTTATAGCTTTTATCTTGTCTACATAGTATTCGAAACTCTGTGATTGTATATTCCTTTCAGTGCTGGTCAGTTGTTGCATGGAATATTCGCAGGTAGTAACAAAGTAATTACAACTTTCCTCTCACTAAAATTAGTAATTAGAAGTTTCTGCTGAAATTCTTGACGTATGTTTTCATTTCAAAATGAGCTTAAAATCCATTGCTTAAATCTGTTTTTTCTTTTTTTTCCCTCTCTGCGCAAGGTATCAAATTGTGGGATGAGTGATGAAATCGGGCCAGTTCATATAAAGGAGCGACCAAGCTCTGAAATGCAGTCACGTATTGATGCAGAGGCAAGTGTTGTGAATATATATCCTTTATAACATTTTGATGATGAAAAATCATGGGTTATTTGATTTCCTCTTCCAAAAAATGTTATTTTATCAAAAATAAAAGTCGTGATTCGACTTGAATTTTAACTGTTCTGTAGGTTGTGAGACTCCTTAGAGAAGCATATGATCGTGTGAAAGCCCTACTGAAGAAGGTTTGTCAAATTAAATTATTGTCTATATAACTCTTTTTCTTTAAAAGAAGAAACCTTTCTCTTTTCCCTTTTGGGGTGAGTGGATTCATTTAAATAAATAAATAAAAATTTCATTAAGATGAAGATAAGAAATTTCAAAATGTTTGGAAGATAAGGAATCCTCCGCCAAAAGGGCAAAACACAAAACTAAAAAAGAAAACATCAATAGAGCAAAGCTGCCAACCCCTCATCATATCTGTTCGAGTCTGTAGGTGGATTGTAATTCACTCTTCAAGCTTCCATGTAATTAAGGTCTGAAATTGCACCTGTAACATTTGATCATTAAATATGGTTTACATCTCTTTGAAAATTCTTTATGCCCGACATGGTGCCAAATATTATTTCGAGATTAGTGTGACATTAGCTTAGAATGCTCGAACATTAGTATACATCCCATGTATAACATCTATTAGAAGGTAGACAAGCTTATTTCCATCTATGATTTTCCCAAAAATTGAGAAGTGTAGTGATTAGTAGTTGAGAAGTCTTATACCTCCATATATTAATGAATAAGATTAACAAAATTATTTAGCTCACTACTAAGTCTGACTCTTAATATTTGTCTTTAGTGATTCAAGCAACTAGTGGACCAGAACACATTTTGTTCTTGCTGTGAAGGTGTTTTTGGTTTTTAAATCAAAATGACTGAACGATTGTCAAATGGATCTTAATGATTCTAACCCTGGAAAAAAGGATTTGAATGGTCCATTTATAGAATAAGCTTCAGGGCTTATTTTAGGCTGAGGATATTTGAAGCTTTGGAAAATTAGAACCGAAAGCTTTTTGGGTGCATGACATAACATTGATTAATAAAAATTGGCAACCTTGAATTATATAATGTATGGGACTCAACCGGAGTAACTTTTGACATTTCTTCAGCATGAGAAGGCATTACATGCACTGGCAAATGCGTTATTAGAGTATGAGACACTTAGTGCAGAAGAAATCCGGCGAATACTTCTTCCATATCGGGGAGGGAGACTGCCAGAGCAACAGGAACAAGAAGTAGCAGAAGAGGAGCTTGTGCTGGTGTAATATTTCTCTCCACTTCCTGTTTATTACTGTACTAATTATAGGGGAAGCTCTGTACAGTATACCTAGAAACCCTACAGGTATTTTTCTTAATCTAGTCTCTGCTGTTTCCCTGCTTTGTGCATGCTATTCTTGTCATAAGATGCTTATAGGAAGTAAGTTATACACCTTTGGATATCTCTGAAGGTCAGCTAGTCCTGCTTACAATGAAAAAGGTCAGCTATTAGAGTTTGATCGCCCTTGCTGAGGGCAATATTTTTTGGAGAGACTATGTAATTTGTAGAAAGACGTGTATTGGACATTTTGAGAATTGTGCTTAGTAACCTAAGCACTCTTCATTTTTTTAAAGAATTTGTTGTTAAACTGAGACCGAAGTGTCTGTTGGGTGTCGGCAAGGTTAGGTTGCTTCTGTAATTTATTTATTTTTTCACTAATAATTACGATGTCATTTGTTACCTATATTCAAGGATTTGTACAGAAAATGATAAGAACAAAAATGTCTCGTGATGATTGCAACTTTGCATAAGCTGTCCAGCATATACTCGTGAATTTACTTAAGCCGAAAATAATAGTTCATAGTGTTTGGTCAGAATCTTCATAGTTGAGAGGAAGTTCAAGTAACTTGAAACTTGAAAGGGTTAGAAAATGGTTTGTGCAAGGGTGAAAAATCAGCTGTGCTCAACTATCACTTCTCATAATATTACAACACAAATAATTTAATAATATGCACATATTTATTTAAGAAAACAAGCACCCTTGATAAGAACTTAATTAATAATTTTCTATTAATAAAAAGACCCTCTAGCATCCTTATGTATTACAATTCAATAATGGGAAATTTCTGATAAAAGAAATTGATAATAATTATCAAATTAGATATTTATGTCAACTCTATCAAAACGTTAAGATGATACATTTTTATTTGTAGAAAACACGATTATCTTATTTTGAGTACTCCTAAAAGTTTTTGTTTTTATAGATAATTTACGTGATAGCTGTAAACAACAATCTAACTTTAATGTATCTGTTTAGTACGAACAACAAACTCTACGATGATGTAATATTAAGTGATTGTCTTCATATTCATATATAACCATTGTCGTCTGACAAAAAACTCGTAACGTAACTTTTTTTTTATTTTTTTTGGTAGTTACTCATAATATAACTTTAATTGATGCAATATTAAGTGATTATCTTCATGCTCATTAGAACATGTAACCATTATCGTCTGACAATGTTTTCATATTATATGAATTTCACTCAATTGTGAACTATATTAAAATGGAAATCAAAAGATGTATAACTAAGAATTCAGCGCCAAATAGGAGTTTTGCATTCTGGGAGTATTTATCTAAATTTGATTAGTAATTACATATTCGCTATTTAGAACGTGACACTTTGATAATACAATTTTGAAACATTATCAAAGCGGTACAATATCAAATGATGGTAGTTCAGTTGGCGCATAAAAACTGAGCAGGTAGGAGTGGGATTATATATTCGATTCTCTTTAGTGCTATCTTTGGACTAAATCCGTTTCGAACTCTGAATTAGTCTATAGAAAATCTATAAAATTATAAGGGGAGAGTCTCTCCAAAAAAAAAAAATGGTGCAATAAATCCCGAATGGGGTAAGGGCGAGACCAGTCCCGCATGGGTGAGACAAAACTTGTTGGAACGTGTGAAATGCTGACAAGCTTAGGAGTTATATTTAAATAATTTAGCTAAAGACATTTTGTCACTGGCTAATATTTGTTCGAATTACAACCCTTAAACTTGTCAGCTCAACATGCGGCATAATCTAACAGGTCTTGCACTCTTCCATATTGCACTGGTCTCATACCACCTCATATGCAACTCTACTTTGGTAATATGTTTCAAATTGTAAAGTTTCTCAAAACTCATCAATTTATGGTTAAAATTTATGCAAAAGTTTTTGTATTTCTTTCATACCTGCGATGCGATTTGAACTTGGGTGTTGAAAGTTATAACCAAAAGCACGGTCACCACTAGAGTCTAATACATAGATTTATTAATGCATATACTTAACGATATAGTTATATTATTTGAATTTATCTAATAAATATAGTATAGTTCAAAAAAGGTTTAATCACTGGTTGAATTAATGATCTAGTATCTCGACCAAATTAGTGATCGAGTCGAATTTAATAATATTACACAAAATATAAGAAAATGAAACATTTAAAAAGTCAAGTAGAATCTCCTAATTAAAAGCATGACTGTGTCGTTGCTATTATTTGAAGCCTACTAATTTGTAAATAGTTGTTCTTTGGTTCTTATTAGTATATGTATGAATTTGAATGTAAACACACATGTTTATTTTGCAGCTTATCCATATACATATTTGCTCATTTGTTATGAGGGTGATATAGTAATTATATGCATTTTTCAAGCACATTTAGTTGAGTAGTGCCACTTAAATGGAAAAATAATTTTGACAAAATTTTACTAAAGTTTAAAAGTTATTGTTAAGACAAAGCATATTTAGATCACCAACCCTTCAAAGAATTAATACCAATACTAATTCATCTTGGCTCTTATTCTATCCAATTAATTCTGCCTATCTATCATTTTTTTTATTTGGATTATTTTGTATAAAATCAAATACATTTATATTTGTATATAGTTGTTACATGTAGATATTAACTCATAATTTAATTGCATAAATTAAAATAACAAAAAAATACTCGCCCATCAACAGGCCAGTACTAATAAAGAAAGAAAAATATCTCTCTAAAACAACTTGGTAAAATCAGTGCGATAGACAACGAAAATGTGCAGGTTTAAACCCCAAAAATGATTCTACCTCCTTTTCCTTTCCTCTTCTGCGGGACCTCGTGCGGCCCCCAGTAACTCTGTGACTTCCCGAAGCTCACCAAAGTGACAAATCATGTACGTAGCACCGATATGATACGACACGTCAATCCTTTACAACAACAAAAAAATAAATTTTGACATATTGGGACACGTTTTGATATTAAATAATATTTTTAATTTATATAACGTATACTTTATTTAATATAAAATAATTTAACAAAAAAAATAAAACTAAATGAATAATACCCATCAACACGTTATAAAGGTAGAAGCTTTAATAAAAAAACAGGAACTGGAATGATAGAGAGATAATATCAGAGAGAGAGAGAGATTAAAATTAAATCAGATTAAAAAGAGAGAGATCAGAGAGAAGGAGACACAACAAGAGTGTAACAGGAATGACAACGATGGTGTTGAGATAATCTTTTATCTACTTAAGGAGAAAAAAGGCAAAAAAAAAAATTGATATAATCAAATGGAAGCTTTATTAGTATATTTTAATTTATAAAAAAATAATTTTTTTAAAAAATATAATATTTTTACGAAAATGCCATTTGACCGTGTCGGAGCGCGTCGAAACGTGTCGGACACAGTCAAACCGCGTGTCGAAATGGTCAACGTGTCGGAAACGTTGACCGCGTATCGGACACCGTGTCAGAACGTGTCGGCGTTAGGGGTGTTCGCGGTCTGGATTGGATTGATTTTGGAAGCAAAAATATCCGATCCAATCCTTTCGGTTTGATCATATAATCATCCATTCAGTTTGGATTTTTTTCCAAATCCGATCCGATCCAATCTTTTTCGGTTTGGATTGGATCAGTTTTCGGTTTTTTGAAAATCCTAAAATTTATTTTATGATTATTGTACAAATTACATCTTTTGTATATATTGGCTTTGTAAAAAAAAATTTGAAATAAAAAAGCATTAGTAAATTATAATATGGTTTTTTTTTTCCAATGAGATATGAAGCTCTACAAAGATAAAATTTTGTTGATGAGATGTGACTAGACTTTTTCTTGGGTTTAGATGATGGGTTAATGGGTCTTGGGTTTAGAAATTTTTAAACTATGATTAAGGAAAGATCCAAGTAGGTAGAAAGAAATTAATATATTGGATCGGTTTGGATTTGATCAGTTTTCATCAACCCATCCAAAAACCGATCCAATCCAATTAAAATTTGCGATTTTTTTTCGGTTTTTCGATTTTCGATTTTCGATTTTTCGGTTTGGTCACCGCGGTTTGAATCGGTTGTTGAACACCCCTAGTCAGCGTGTCAGACACGACACTCCCTATTTTTTGGAGTGTCCGTGCTTCCTTGCAAGTCATCACTTGAAACAAAAAGTTTAAGAAATAAAGAACCAAAGTAGTGTGGAACTGTTATAAATTAAGTAACTCGCTAGACGTTTAATTTTTGGGAGTTATTAATCTCATATTGTTTGAGATAGTTTTCTCATGTGTGTGAGATAAATATGTGAAATCCACACTTTAAAACAAAAGAAGAAGAAAAAAAGGAAAAAATTGACACAAAATTTGATGAGTGTATAACATAAGAAAAATATTTCCCTTAATTTTTACGGCAATTAGAAACACTACGGCTGACCAATCAAAACAATTTTACAGAACATGTTTCACCACCACCTATATACAAAAAAGAGCATACCACGAAGACCAAAACCATGGACATCTCCAAGAAGTATCTGGTCTTTCACCTGTTACTGTACTGGATTCAGTCACCTGTCTCAAATATTCTTTTCTTTAACGACTACAGAGAGAAACGGGCATATATAACAATCCAATAGAGCAAATGGAATGAAGAATTCTCCTACTGTATAACTAATGGAAGCAGCACAATTGCCAGTCCATCTCCTAAGCCTCCGAGATAGGAAAGCCCCCGAAGCTTCATCCATGGCAGCCAAGTTCTCAGCAACTTCTTATCATAAGCTCCTATATCCGGTCAATTGGTTCAGTGCGATCTTGTACTGCAAGCCCTTCTGAGACATCAGCAAGTGATTTGAGATTGCACTTAATTAAGGCTTCAACAAAGTAGCAGGTCTCATCCTTTGTGTTCCCCTCAGGTATATCCACCACAAAAGATTCAATTACCAATGTACCTGGCCTTCCATCAATAATTTCTGGGTGGAGGGACATGATAGAAGAATAGTTCTGAAATATAGAAGACACAGGTAGGATTAAAACCTGCATTTTTATTTTTTATTTTTGTGTGTGGGTGTAACGGACAATATAACTTAATCATTTACCTCAACTTCTTAGTAAGGAAAACCAAACAAAATTCATATAATTGCTCAAGCTGGAAGCAATTCTAGTTACATCTCATTCAGGAACAGTAGTTATTACAGTCAACAAATCATAAAAGTTCATTAGCGATCAATCACCAACCAACAGAGTTCACAATTTCACATTATTACTCATCTTAACTTGTATCTGTGAATATAGATCTTCAGGGAGGACTCCAATTGGTTGAGCTCTTAGACAACGAAAATTCTAGCTCAGTCTGACCTTAGCTAGAAAAAATATACATGCTAAAAAGTACAGAATGCAACATGGAAGCCAGAACCAGCATTCCAGGAATTTCTCTTGAACCTCGTTACCTACAAACTGACAGAATACTTGCAACTTTCACAAAAAAAAAGGAAGAAGAAGCTATTTTCTGTTATCAAAAAGTTTGAGAAGGACTTGAGATAAACATTAAATTAAAACCATGTAATCCTGCATCTTCAAGTGATAACAATCCAATATGCCCATTAATCAATATACATTAAGCAATAATTACAGAAAACCGCCTGATCAAACCTGTATGTCTTGATGTGGAAAAACTACCACTAAAGAAAACTCTACTAAAAAAGTGGTCATAAGCATCAGAATAGTCAAGTGAACCTACCTTTAGAAAGACAAAGACAGAGACAAATTTATAAGCAGACAAGACTCCCCTTCAACCCCAAAGAAAAAGCCAATGTTTACAATGTTGTCTAGAGCTGAAACTGTTCAGCATCTTAATTCTTAAAAGCATATATTACAAGTAACGAAGACTGTACTAACAATATTAAGCATCATGCCTCAAGTGAGCACTTGATCACATTCAGTCAACTATACGAATGAAATACAATGTATACACCCAATCAACTAACAAAAAGGCCTCATTGACAGCACCAACACCACAGTATAAATTAGACATTTTTAAGCAGCCAAAAAAATATTACATTTGCATACCTTCCTTCTAATTGGCGTGGGGCCCATCTCAGACACATAAATATATATAACTAAATTAGCATGCACACAAGGTTGAACATAGAATATGGATAGAAGTGCATAGAAGAGTGATGACTTCAAGCAAGACAAATGGTTTTTCGGAAGAATAAATTCAGTTCAGACTCACTAGCACAAGATTTTAAGCAAAAAAAATAATAAAAAAATCAGCTGATTTTTTAAAGGATATATTCATACCCTGAGTCTATGATCACCACCAATTATCCTGATGCTGAGAATATGCTCATTATCATCAAGGAGCTCCAATCTTTCTGTACTTGTGGTGGCAGGAAGCCCTGACTTAACATCAACTTCTCTCAGACTCCCAATCTCAAGGTTTCCCCTTACAACACATCTGCTTACAAATGGCTTGTACTTCTGCGGCTGATCAAACCTCCTCACCAACGACCATACCTAGAGAAAGCAAATCTAAGCACGATAAATAATCAATATCACACAGACAGGGTAGGTCGAGCAAAGCATAATCATTCAAGCAATCTCAATCAAAAAAGTTTCTGCATTATACAAAAAATATTGTCAGGAAGCACAACAAACTCTTTATTCCACAGCAGTAGAAGAGATGAAGAGAAAAAAAGAACCAAATTTGGGTTCGCTTTGTACTTGATCAATTTTGTAGTTAACCTTCACGTAAAAGGGTAATGATTCAACTCTCGTAATGCACTTCTGCAGCAATCAAACCAAGCTGATTGAACCTTCAATGAGTTAAAATGTAGAATGTAAAGAACCTTGCAAATCCCCCACCCCCTTTACCTTACCAAAAAAAAAGAAAAAAATAAAAATCTGTCCACTCAATGAAAAAACAAAGTTCTACCGCAAGATTTTTACATGAGTAAAAAGACTCAGGATTGGACACTTGTTGTTGGTTGCTGAAATACAGTAAGAAGAGCATTAATTAGTCCTCGAATTATAGCCAGGACTACCAATAAGATCTGGAATATAAACATTTCACTAGAATCACACTACCTTGTTTTTTTCACTATTTTTGACACAAACATCTGTTGCCGAAACCTAAAAAATAGGAGCAGATCAAACGGTATTGAGAAGCAGTTCAACCATAAAATAGACCAACAAATTCAAATGCTCTCATTCCCTTCACCCAATCAACCCTTTACCCATCCAATAAAATGAAAAATGAAAAATGGAAAAACACATACAATGCAAAAAATGAAAAAGCTTCATCATACACACATCCAACAACACACGTAGATAACTAAACAACACAGGCACATAAGAAGATTCAATAAACCATAAAAATTAATAAAAAAGAAAGAAAAGAAAGAAAGATGAACCTGTGGAACCGGTGCTCTTATATGCTTAACGAGCGCAGAGGCACACTGATTCTCCCCAGGCTCGTGTCTATGGTGCCTTCGTATATACTCCATCTCCACACTGCTCAATCCCCCATTCCCAATCCCATTCATTTTGTTCCTTCTCCTCAAAACGCAGCGTTTCAACTTCCAATCTCGCCAACCATGAAACTCCGATGCCTAATCGAATGCCGCCGCCGAGCTCCGATCGCCGTCCGGCGAGAGCTTCGAGAGAATAAAAGATGCGCGTGAGAGTCAGAGTTACCGCCACGGATCACGGAAACCACCACGGGAGCTCTTATTATCCCAAATAAATAAAAAAATTATTATTTGGTTACATTAAATTATTATTATTATTATTTGATTATAAAAGTTAAATATCTTCGTTAAAAAACTATTTGTTTCCTTCTTCCTTTCAAAATATGGCCCCCACTTAGTGATTATTACAAACTAATTATCTGTTTGTCCTTTTCTGTCAGTGTCGCTACCAAAACGCCCTTCCCTTCATAAACAATTTACATGCATGCCACTTTTGATATTTATTTTAATTTTAACACAAAATCTCACCTCACTTACGTGCGATGAATTAATTAATGATCAATAATGTATATTTATTATACTATTTAATTAACAGATTAATAATAAGAAATTAATTTATGACTACTAAATATAAGGTAGAAAAAATAAATAAAGAAGGTAAGAAAATCTATTAACTGTCAAAACCGGAAAGAGAATATTTACTTGTCTTTTTGCATAATGAAACTGAAGGTGAGCGTGAGAGCATCTTATAAGCTAAGTAGGAACCAAAAAAGAAAATAACTGAAAAAGAAAAAGAAAATAGCTGAAAAAGAAAAAGAAAAAGAAAGTGGTGTCAGATATATGAGGCATGTAGTACCATTTCTATTCTTTGCTTTGGTTTTGATTTTTTCTTCGGCTTTTCGGCCTTAAAAGTGTGGCTGGTCAGTGGTCAGTGTCCTATTTAAATGCTCTATGGGCATTCACTCGATTCTTGTTTTTTGGCATTAAATGGTTTCACGCTTAAAAGGCTCTTGGAATCGGAAGTATATTTTCAGTGCTTAGTATATATTACAGTGTTACATTTATTTAAAATAGAAATACACTTACCTACCTGCATTTATAAGGGAAAAATATTTTCTCATGTTGTATAAGAATTCAATTTTTATGTTGTGATTTTTAATTTGTGTGCAAACTTTTTTTTTTTAATAAATATGAGTCCACCACTAGTTGAGTCACAACATAAAAATTGAATTCTCATACAACATGAGAAAATCAAACCCCATCTAACTAAACGAGTAAATGTATTTTTATTTTGAATGTGTGTAATATATTACATAAAAATATTCTTAATTACCAAAAAGAAAAATATTCTCCCGATCAATGATGTTGGGATATGATAAAAGAGGAGAAAAAAAAAGCTCCAAAGATGAGTGAATTTATATTGAGACGTGTTTGAATAAATTAACAAGAGAAGGCCGAATAATAATTTGTATTTGTTAAAAAAATATAATATAAATATTATTGATTGAGCCTTTATTTATGAACTTGAGTTTTTTTGTATAAGATACTTATTTATTATGGTATTAGAGTAATCACGATCAACCACTATTAGGGTTAACCTAGTGGTGTGGGGTGTGTGTGTTAGGAGTGTGTGTAGTGTAGAGTGTTGTGTTCAATTCCTTGTAACCTCAAAAAAAAAAAAAGAGTATTCACGATCATAAAATCATGAATTTGATCAAGTCAATATAAGAAAACTAAAAAATAAAATAAAATGGACTTAAATTAAAAAAACTCTTGCGAGAGGGAACGTCGTATTGAAAAAAATATAATATAAAAAACATTAATTGAGTTTTCGCTTACCCATTTAGTTTTTGGAAAATATGGTGTTTTTATCAACGCTTTACCATACAATATGAAAACCCAATAATATTTTCATACCCTTTCAAGGCAGACTCTTGGACCAATGTGAGTTGTGTGGAAGTGAGGAATATCCAATTCTCACTGTAAAGGAAACGTTTCAGTCTCATATTGATTATGTGGATAACTAATGTAGCTTTTATAAGGCCTTGGGCACTCCCACCCTTTAAGTTAGTTTTTGAGATGGTGTATCTCAAGGTTCTTTACATGGTATCAGAGCTTGAATGACTAAAAGGTCACAAGTTCGATTCTCACGGCCCTCCACTTTCAAGTGGAATTAAAATAAAAAAAAAGAGTAAACACCTTTTTTAGTCCCTGTCAATATTTACGAAGTCCTTTTTAGTCCATGGCAATAAAAAAGGACCAAATTGGTCCCTGAAATTACAAAAAAAGGGTCATGTTAGTCCTTATGTCAACTCCCAAATATGTAGAGTGGCCCTTTTCTTGTACTTTCAGGGACCAATTTGATCCTTTTTTATTGCTAGGGACTGAAAAGGACTTCGTAGATATTGCCAGGGACTAAAAAGGGTGTTTACTCTTAAAAAAATACAAAAAGGTAAACCAAAAATTTAGGCTGTGCAATTCTACGCTAAGGTAAACCAAAAATTAGGCCTGTGCAATTCCTCGCTTCTAGCCCAAAGGGCTCTTGCATGAGGGGGCATGTTGAGATATATAGTCTCACATTGGTTATGTGGGCAACTAATGTGACTTTTATAAGGCCTTGGGCATTCCCACCCTTTGAGCTAGCTTTTGGGGTGTGTATCCCAAGGTTCTTTACATCTTTCACGAGAAAAGTAAAATGACGTCGTTTTGGGTTGAAAAATTAAAAAATTATGATGAAAAAGACTATTATATCCTTGAAATAAATTATAATTACAAAAATACCTTAATTTCCGTCTCAAAACGACATCATTTTGGGCTCAATGTATATAAGTTATCTATATTGACAGTAGAAAAAACGAACCCTATTTTAAATGATATAAAATATTTTAAGTGAAAGAAAGAGATAAATAAAGAAAAAGAGAATGGATAAAAAAAATATAAAAGTGTGAATCTCATCTCTTTGTGAGACAAATTGTGTCATCTATAAGGACAAATATTTTTCTCTTCTTTTATATGAAGTATGAACAAAAAAGAATAGAATAATATTTTTCACTGATTTATAGTAAAACAATTATTAATTAATACGATGCATGGATCAGTTAAAGTACCATGAATTTACTTTCAATTTATATTATTGTTATTAATCTGTCAACTAATTACTATACTTCCGTCTGGTATAATAATAAATTAATAATATTCACCAAATGATATGTTGGGAATATTTACGAATAACAAATTTAGCTTTTCAATTTGAGTTGGATGGTGGGGAAACTGGAAAAATTGACTGCAAAGTAATAAGAAGAAAATTTTTTAGGGGACGTTTAGTAGAAAAGAAATTTTTTTTTATCCAGAAAATAATTATTAACGGAATATGGTAGAAAAAATATTTTGGCTGGAATGTTACTAAAAGGTGTTGGTATGATAGAATTTTCCTGAAATTTTATGGTTAAATTACTGAATATGTGTTTGGTTGGTTATGAAATTTTAGTGAGAATAAGAGGTTAACCTCAAGTTTACTTTTTGTTTCAAATATTGTTTTTTTTAACCGAAGACAAAGAAACAACGGATCTGGGTTTGCTGTGACTCTTGTTCTTTGAAAAAGACATATTTGTACACCTTCACAAGGCATTCATCAGAAATCGAAGGTGGCAACGAGAAGTCGAGAAGGGAGTTAAAATTGTCTTTGGTAAATGCTATAAATTATTTTTGCCTTGATTGTACTTTCAGTCCCCTTTTATCTCTTAATAATTTTTTGCAGTAATTAATTGTTCTAATTTTGTAATTAAAAAATCTGGTCCCTCCTTCTGTTGTCTAATTACTAACAAAAGTCAATAGAGATTTACATAAATGAGATGATACTTTAATTTAGAGAGTTGGCACCAATTTATACATATGGGTGATGATATGTTGATAGTAATATGATTTTTTCAATTAAAAAAAATTAAAGAATTTTTTGATGAAAAAAAATTAAAGAATTTAAGCTGCAAAAAATTATTTGGGGACCGAAATGCCACATGAATTATATTCTATGTTGCACCGATACGACACGCGACACGTGACACGACACGATACTCTGACACATCAATCCTAAAAAATATAAATTTCGACACGTTGGGACATATTTAATATTAAATAATACTTTTAATTTATATAGCGTATATTCATTTAATATTCAATAATTTAACAGAAAAATGAAACTAAATTAATAATACTCATCAACACGTTATAAAAGTGGAAGCTTTAAAAAAAACAGGAACTGGTATGAGAGAGAGATATCAAATCAGATTAGAGAGATCAGAGAGAAAGAGACACAGCAAGAGCGTAACAGAAAGGACAACGATGGTGCTGATATGATCTCTTATTTACTTAACGGGAAAAAAAGCAATTTTTTTTTTGATATGATCAGGTGGAAGTTTTATTAATATATTTTAACTTTTTTTAAAAAAAATTCCTAATTTTTTTTTTTTTATGAAAATGCCATTTGACCGTGTCGGATACAGTCAAATTCGCATGTCAAAATGGTCAACGTGTCGAGAATGTTGACCGCGTGTCGGACACCGTCGACGTGTCGAAGCGTATCGGACACGACACTCACTGTTTTTTGGAGTATCTGTGCTTCCTTGATTATATTAGAGGGATGGAAATTACAATTAAACAAAAAATACTATTACTTATATTCATGCTGAAGAAAAAAAATAAATAAAAAATTGCAGATTAAGTGTTATATATATATGGGAAAAATAATTTCGCTTTTATTGCAGATTTTCTTTTCCAAGCTTTTTAGGATAATTTGTTATTTATATTTATTAATGATGATTTTATTCATATTTTTAGGCAAAATTATTGTCTATTGCTTCATAAAAAGAAAAGAAAAAGCACTCTTGAATTTGTGTTTATTTAAGGAAAAAGTGTTTTAACATTAAAAAAAGGAAAATTATTCTCTCATTTTACTTAAGATAAATATCACATGCTCTTCTCACATAAAAAATTATGTTATTATTTTTTTTCTTTTTTAATTAATGATGGATCCCACCATATCATGTGTCTATGATAGGAGATATCTATCTCTAACAACATTAGAAAATAGAACCCTTTCAAAAAAAACTTATTAGAATGAATTTGTTTGGTTTGATTTTGGAAAACAATAATATTGGAAATCTGATTTGTTTGGTTTATATTACTTTTTCTCTAAAGATCTAGTTCAGCCACCGTAAACACTTCTACATTAATTAATGGGGTATATATGTTATATAAATTG